GAAGTCATCAGCAAACACAATGATGACAAACAGTAGGTGTTTAAAATACGTGTTACTCTTTCATTGATGTTGTTATGCTAACAGTTTTCTTGGGGCACACCTTAACTGTTATATGATGATCATATAAATTTCTTGTGTTTCAGGCATGTTTGGGAGTCAAAGGCTGACGGGTCATTTGTAGTTTCCGAGGATACATATAATGAACCACTGGGACGTGGTACTGAAATTAGATTGCATCTTAGAGAAGAAGCAGGGGAATATTTGGAAGAGAGCAAACTAAAAGTAAGTGGTTCCCCATTTTATTTCATTTCAATTTTTACTTACGTTGGTTCCCCATTTTCCTGACCCTTCTTAATTATGCCTATTATATAACCAATAACGTTCTCATCTCTGTTACTTGGATGCATTGTTCTTATTTTTGTTTTATGGTGCCATGATAATTTGATGATTGTTTTTTTTTTTTTTTGCAGGAGTTGGTGAAGAAATATTCTGAATTTATCAACTTCCCCATCCACCTCTGGGCAAGCAAAGAGGTTGATGTGGAGGTTCCTGCCGATGAGGATGAGTCCTCTGATGAGGAAGAATCACGTATGCACCCATTATTCAAATTTTTTTCTCAAATATGATTGTAAAAGCTTTTAGTGCTGATAGCAGAAATTACTTATATTTCTAAGCATTAAAATTTCATCTGGTTCGATGCGTATTCTTACATATTCTTGCCTCCCTGCTTTTACCCAATGATTGTGAACAGCTGAAAGCAAATCCTCCGAGGAAGAAACTGAGAAAAGTGAAGATGAAGATGAAGATTCTGAGAAAAAACCAAAGACAAAGAAAATAAAAGAAACTACTTATGAATGGGAGCTTCTAAATGATGTTAAAGCTATATGGTTGCGCAATCCAAAGGAAGTAACTGATGAAGAGTACACCAAATTCTATCACTCTCTTGCCAAGGTAATGTTCTTATGGTTGCATGACCTTGTAGAATGTTTTTGGGAACTAAATCACCTTTCATATTCTGTGTATTCATCAATTGCACATATTTATACTCTTCAACAGGATTTTGGTGATGAGAAGCCTTTATCATGGAGCCACTTTACCGCTGAAGGTGACGTAGAATTCAAGGCTGTCCTGTTTGTGCCTCCTAAGGCTCCTCATGATCTATATGAGAGCTACTATAATGCCAATAAATCCAACTTGAAGTTGTATGTTAGAAGGGTTTTCATATCAGATGAATTTGATGAGCTTTTGCCAAAGTATCTGAATTTTTTGAAGGTAATACAGGATATGTTTAAGTTCTTACAATTAAGTTTATGAGATTGGTTTTTACATGCTTACCAAAACTGGTTTTTACATGCTTACCAAATCTGGTTTTTACATTGATGATCTTATGATCAGGGTCTTGTTGATTCTGATACCTTGCCACTCAATGTATCACGAGAAATGCTTCAACAACACGGCAGTTTGAAGACAATTAAGAAGAAGCTCATCCGGAAAGCCCTTGATATGATCCGTAAACTTGCTGAGGAAGATCCTGATGAGTCCAATGACAAAGACAAGAAAGGTATGGTGCACATAAAATTGCTTCTTTGTTAATATTTGCAAGCAGTTTCTTTGTACAATTCTGGGAGTATTCAATCAGAGCGTACGATTTGTTATGTGGTGCATTGATGTCATGTTTACTGCATCCTAGTTGAACTTGCATTAATACCAACCCTTGAAAACCAACAACTTGAGCTTCATGTTTTGCTGTTTTTTTGTAAAAGTTAGTGATGCTAACAGGGGGGGAGAGTTACTAAGTTTGCATTAATTGTTCACTTATGTTTTGTGTTGAATTTTGATGCGAAAACAGAGCTTGAGAAATCCAGTGATGATGATGAGAAGAGAGGCCAATATTCTAGATTCTGGAATGAATTCGGCAAGTCCATTAAGCTTGGTATCATTGAAGATGCGGCTAACAGGAATCGTTTGGCAAAACTCCTAAGATTTGAGAGGTAAACATATTTTATGGTACTATTTATGTTTAGTTTTATTGGCAGCACTAAATGTCCTTATAGTCGCCTTCATGGGGTTGAATGACCAACTTTGACCTCTCTGGCAGCACCAAGTCAGATGGAAAATTGACTTCACTAGATCAGTACATTTCAAGGATGAAATCTGGGCAGAAGGACATATTTTACATTACTGGTGCCAGCAAAGAACAGTTGGAAAAATCTCCATTCATTGAGCGGCTTAAGAAGAAAAATTATGAGGTACATCTAAAAGATATTCAATCTTTGCACTTGTTTAAATAGGGATATTTGTTACTTTCCCACTTGTTTGAGTCACGAGGAAGGGCTCTTCTTTTTTTGTCTCTCTATTTACCTTCTATATCTATTGTTGCAGGTTATTTTCTTCACAGATCCAGTTGATGAATATCTGATGCAATACTTGATGGACTATGAAGACAAGAAATTCCAGAACGTGTCAAAGGAGGGTTTGAAACTTGGTAAAGACTCAAAAGACAAGGAAGTCAAGGAATCATACAAGGAACTCACTAAATGGTGGAAGAGTGCTCTTGCCAGTGACAATGTGGATGATGTGAAGCTGTCCAACCGTTTGGCTGACACGCCTTGTGTGGTCGTGACATCAAAGTATGGTTGGAGTGCAAACATGGAGAGGATCATGCAGTCTCAGACTTTATCAGATGCTAGCAAACAAGCATACATGCGTGGCAAGAGGATCCTTGAGATTAACCCAAGGCACCCAATCATCAAGGAGCTCCGGGAGAGAGTAGTAAAGAATGCTGAGGTATGTTCTAGACTTATTCCCCTTCACTTACATATTCAGAAATTTGAATGGAGGAAACATATATGAAGAAGATACATGTGCATTCATGATCTCCAACATTTACAAATCACTGGTGGGTCTTCCTTGCAAAATATTTTCAAGAAATCTTGACCTTTGTAACCTGGATTTCTCTCATTGGTTAAAATTGTTTCATTTCTGATTGAGTCTCATTTGGGGATCTGATCTTTGTTATGAAATCAAAATGGTTCGTCATTTAGGTGGTTTACATGAATAAATAGGCACATTGCTATTGCTATCACAGGTCTGTTAAGCAATTGAAAGGAGCCAAGGCGTACTCTTATGGTTGGGTTTAAAAGCATGTCTTAGGAAAAAACCATTTGTTGAATTGTTAGTGATTCCGGTTTATCTTATTCAATATTTTTGCTTGCTCTTCAGGATGAGAGCGTAAAGCAGACAGCGCAGCTTATTTACCAGACTGCACTCATGGAGAGCGGTTTCAATCTCCCAGACCCCAAGGATTTTGCCTCCCGCATCTACAGTTCAGTGAAGTCTAGCCTAAACATAAACCCTGATGTTGCAGTTGAGGAGGAAGAAGAGGTTGAAGAGGTTGAGACAGAAACTGCTACAAATGAAGCGACAGCTACCCCTGAGGCCGATGCAGATACACTGAAGGATGAGTTGTAGGTTGCCTATAGCCGATAGGGTGGGGTGATACATTAAGGTCCAATGGGCTTCGGCCTTTCACGGTTCAGTTTCTGGAGAAACGGGAAATCGCTGCTTTGCACTTTTTGATTTAATTTGGTTAAGTTAAAGACATTAGGTAATAGATTTACTGTAATCGTATAAACCAGAATTTTGTCTCCAGCATCTAGTTAATGAGTTTAAGAGAGACTATGCCATGTACTTTCTTTGCAAATACAATGTTGTTCAATTAATCAATTCTCTCTCTGTTTCTTTTCCTCACCTTGTTGAGTAATTGCAGCGTTATATACAAGCAGAATATATCTTTTGAGTTTTATTTGTACTGCAGATTCTAGACAAGTTTATCTTGGCTGCTATAGGACCAAAGAAGAAAACTCCATCTTGGTTTAGGGTTTTGAAGGAACTGGCTCTGGGCCACAACAA